CTTCAGCCAATACTGTGTCTTTCCTCTAAACTCTCTCCAAGTTTCTAAAAATTTAGTTTGTTGTTTACTATATGTGACTGCAGAGAGATGACTAGTCATTTATCTAACATCTAATTGTACATATATGCTGCTTCTATATTTTTTTTTAAATGGGGAGCAGTGGTGGCAAATAGTGTGTGCTTGGCTATTGACCCAAAGGTCAGCAATTATAACCTACCAGGAGTTCCATAGGAGAAAAAACCCATCAGTCTATTCCTATTAGTATTACAGCCTCAAAACCATATGAAACAGTGCTGTTCTGTCCTTTGAGGTCAATGTGAGTCAGAATTACCTTGATTACACATAATAACAAAATAAAAATATGAATTGTCTATCAATGAAGTAATGGTATATCACATCCTTTGCCGCTGACTAGAATAGAATAGGATAGGATAGGATAGGATAGGATAGGATAGGATAGGATAGGATAGGATAGGATAGGGTAGAATAGAATAGAGAGACTAAGGCATGTGAATACAGATGCAAATATATTCATATCTTCATATTATTTTTTTCTCTCTGTAGGAATAGCAAACTGAGCATAATGAAGAAAACTTTTGGACTAAAATCCAAGCCAGCTGTATTAAACGTTTCTGGATATGCAATTGCAATTCATGTTTCCTTATTTGGAATATGAGTAAGCTCTGTGATATAAGGAGCATAAGAACAAATTGGTCACATAAAAGAAGTCTAGTTCAAAGAAATCTTTCAGGTATGTTCAAACTTTATTGAAGGTTGAGTTCAAAGGGATAAAATGTTGACCTGTCACTAAAGTTGGATAAATGAGATGGCTTTGTAGAATTAACCTAATATCAATAATTGAAGCAATTTAGGAAACATAAAAGTACTCAACATTCATTAGGAGTAAAATTTATCTCAATTATATAACCCATCTTTAAAGAAATAGAAACATATCTGTATCTATCCCTATATCTACAAATTTGTATGTGTATGCATACAAATATGTGTTTGTGTGTATATATGGTGGCATAGTCCACAGTGAGTTGACTTGCTAACTCTAAGACTTCACTTCTTTTGTAATATGAATCCACCAGAAAAAGAGTCTATATTCTCCTGTGCAATTTACATGAAAACTCAATGTTTCATCAGCTATGGGTTGGTTCTGACTTGATGGCAGTGAATTTTATATATATAGCGTCTCAAAATTAGGGGTGTTTGTGTATGTGTGTGTGTATGTATATATTTATATTTAAAGAGAAAGAGAGAGAGAGAGTGTGTGTGTTTTCAAAGACAAGCAGGTATGGTAATATGCTTGTGAAGTAACAGAAACCCTAAGAATAATAGAGTAATATTGTTAGTGCTGGAAGACAGACCTCTCAGGTTAGAAAACAAAAAAAAAAAAAAATAAGAAACAGCTGCAACTATGTATTAATAATTGGAACATGGACAGTATAAAGTATGAATTTAGGAAAATTTGAAGTCATCAAAATGAAATGGAACTTGTAAAGATCAGCATTCTCGACATTAGTGAACTGAGATGGATGAGTACTGCTCATTTAAAATCAGATAATCATTTGATCTATTATGCCAGGAATGACTAATTTAAAGGGAACTGTGCCATAGTTATCATCACAAAACACTTTAAGATCTATCTGAAGTACAATGCTGTGGGTCATAGAGTGCTACACACATGCATAAAAGGAAGGCTTGTAAATGAAATCTTTTTTCAAATATATGCACCAAACTTCTAAGGCCAAAGATGAAGAAATCTGAGAACACCTAGCTTTTGCCACATGAAATTTATTTAAAAATCAGTCAAAATGTGTTAATATAATTGGTGATTGGAATTCAAAATTTGGAAACAAAGAACTAGGATTTTTAAGTACCATCAAAGCAAGTATGACTCATAGAGATTATGAACAACAGATCTGAACCTTGTACTATCTTGCTATTGTTATGTCCATTGAGTTGCTTGCAACTAATAGCTATGTAAAATGACTCTGAAGCCTATCCTATCCTGAACCAGTCTTTTGTCAATGCTTTCAGTAAAGCTTGGTGTTCTGCTTTCATTACCATTGATTTTTGATGACTTGCTATTTTAAAAATAATTCTTCACCAAGGAAGACATTCAGATGGCCAACAAGCACATGAAGAAATGTTCAAAATCCCTAGCCCTGAGAGAGATGCAAATCAAGACAACCATGAGATATCATCTCACTCCAGTAAGACTAGCAAAATCTAAAAGAACAGCAAGCAACAAATGCTGGCGAGGTTGTGGAGAGACTGGAACCCTTATTCACTGTTGGTAGGAGTGTAAAATGGTGCAACCACTGGGAAAGCATTGTGGCACTTTCTCAAAAAGTTGCAAATAAAGATACCATTTGACCCAGCAATTCCACTGCTGGGAATATACCCTAAAGAGACCATAAATGACATCCAAGTAGATATATGTATACCCATGTTTATCGCGGCTTTGTTTACAATAGCAAGGAGTTGGAAACAACCTAAATGCCCATCAACAAACGATTGGGTAGGGAAGCTGTGGTATATTTGCACAATGGAATACTATGCTGCATTGAAAAACAAGGAACTCATGCAATATTATTCAAAATGGGTGACCCTGGAGGACATTATGCTGAGTGAGGTATCTCAGTCACAAAGGGACAAATGCTATATGGTGCCACTGTTGTAGAATGAGGCTGGCATTGGGGTGGGGTAAGACTGAGAAAAACTGGATGAAATGTTTACGGCATTGAAGTCTATGGGGGAGAGAATAGTCTAAAAGCATTATATTTTAGGGCATTATTTTTATCGTAGGAGTACGCAATGAGAGTTGCAGAGTGGATTATATTTGGGGGTAGGGGGTGCGGTTTGGGGAGGTGTGGGGGGGATTGTGTACCAATGAGGGCGTTTTTCTTTTGCTTTTCAAGGAGAGGAGCAAACGGGGGGGGGCGTTTTGTGCGGGGAGAAGGGTGCAACAATGAATGAATGGAATTCCAAAATCTCTGTAGATGTTCATTGAAATGAAAAATAAACAAACTAAATTGAAGAGAAAAAAATAGTTCTGTGTTGGCCAATTCTTTTTGATACTTTCAATGTTTTCTGCAACATTCAAGATTTTGCACGTAAAATCTTTCCATATTACAGATAGATGCTTGAATTTGTTCTTTAGTTCTTTCAGCTTAAGAAACTCTGAATGTGTTCTTCTCTTTCGGTTTCTGACTCCAGCTCTTTGTATGAGTAATGTAACTGTTTATGCCAAATGGATCTTAGATGAGAATACCAGAAGGAAGTTTCTTATGGCTGACACTGAGGAGCATGGGAATCCCAGAACACTTTATTGTACTCATGAAAAACAGAGGAACAGTATGTGAATTAAAATCAGGTATGGTCTATGTCATTCTCCAGCCACTATTGTCACTGTGTAGATAGATCCCTCTTGTTGAGAAGTTCTTCCTCTCTTTCACTAAACTTTCCCATAATTATGTATTTTTCCAAGAACTTGTCTCTCCTGACAATATATCTAGAAGTAAGTGAGATGAAGTTTCACTACCCTTGCTTTTAAGAACTACTCTCTATTCATTCCACCAAGACAGATTTGTTGGTTCTTTTGGTTTACATTTGAACCTGAATGAACATTTGAACCTAAACAAAACTCTTGAAAGAAGCTTGGGTCTCTGTTTGAGCTAATGCTACCTAAATTCCAGGTAGGGGTATGCATGTGTTTAAGTAAGGATTCTATTTTATATTATGCCATTTTATCTCCTTTTTAGGATAATTTATTATATGGGTTCTAAGAATGAAATAGACTTTTCCTTCTTAACCAGAAAATCCTGTAAAGGTAGAGTGTTCAAAAATGAAATAGTCCTCTCTCCGCCTCAGTGTATCTATTAGAAGATGTCAGTTATGAGAAACATAAATTCCTGGGTTTGTACTCAAGCAAACTACCTCACATCCTAATAAAACATGGTCATATTTTGTAGAAAATATTATATTTTTCAGTATCTCTTTTTGAAGTCTGTTAAATTTTCTCCTAAGCTACCTCTCTAGAGATTTTCTTAATGCCTCATGGACTAGAAATGCATTACACTTGTTACTAAAATAGGAACTGGTAAGCAGAATGGAGTCACTATAATTGGATTAAGGAAGCATATGGCTAAAAAAGGTTAAATTACCTAGAAACAACAAACAAAAAATCACAGTCTTCTATAAGGAGAAAATTAGGAAAGAGATACAAATAAGTAGTTCAACAATACTCAAAGGTATGCCCCAAATTAGATTTTCACAATTTGTCATCAATGCAAGTTATCCCATTCATCATCCAGGGTCCAAAGACCTAGCTTATTTTTTAATTTTTTAAAACAATTTTATTTTATTTACATTACAAAGTTTGTATGCATTATTTTCACACAAGAAATTCCCCCTTCCCTTTACTCACCTCTTGCTCCATGCATCAAATTATGTGACCCTATGATTAAACCCTCTCTTCCCTTTCATGGATTCTCATGTGTACTCTATAAAAATGGTCATGCAATATTTGTCTTTATGAGACTGAGTTATTTCTTAGCAAAATGCTCTGCAGTCCCTTCCATGTTAGGTAGTAATTTACAAAATCATTGAGTCTGTGTGCTGCATAGTATCGTGTGAATATACTGTAATTTCTCAGTCCATTCGATTGTGGTTGGGCATTTGGGCTGTTTCCATGTTCTTGCTATGGTGAATAATGCTGCTATGAACAATGGTATACAAGTCTCCACTTGTGCCTTAGTTCTTATTTTCTTAGGATATCTTCCAAACAGTGGAATAGACGAATTATATGGAATTTCTATGTTCAGCTTTTTGAGGAAACACCAAACTGACTTCCAGAGTGGTTGTACAATTTTAAAGTCCCGCCAACAGAGTCTCCCCCCTCTCCCTGAGCCCAGCTCTTGCTGCAGCGCGCTCGCTCAGAGCTTCGGCTCCTGCTCAGCTAGTGCCACCGTCGTCTCCTTGTCGCCATCATGATCATCTACCGGGACATCATCAGCCATGATGAGCTGTTCTCCGACATCTACAAAATCCGGGAGATCACAGGCGGACTGTGCCTGGAGGTGGAGAGGAAGATGGTCAGTAGGACGGAGGGTAACATTGATGACTCGCTCATTGGTGGAAACGCCTCTGCTGAAGGCACCGATTGTGAAGGAACCGAAACCACAGTAATCACTGGTGTTGATATCGTCATGAACCATCACTTGCAGGAAACCAGCTTCACAAAAGAAGCTTACAAGAAGTACATCAAGGATTACATGAAATCACTCAAAGGCAAACTTGAAGAACAAAAAACCTTTGGCTTTTTGGAAGAGAATATGAGATT